TGATTACATGAACTACACAGTCCACATTCCCCCTACACCTGACAACCAACCAATGGACGCATCAACTACACCGTCAGTGGCTGCAAAAGCTGAGGAGCAATACGTCTCCAATTCACTCTTTACTGGGGGTTTCAACAGCGTCACGCGGGCCCACCTAATGGATAAGGTCATAGAGTCAAAAGTAAGCCATCCTCAAATGGCAGGATCCAAAGGCTCGTCCTGCGCCATGCCTGCTTGCGATGGCAAGGTTATGAAGGATGAAAGAGGAAATGACATAACTCCTTGCGAATGCAGGTATATAATCAAGAAGAAAAATGACAAATGTCCAAAGTAGCAGCGTATGCATGGATCATTGCGTGCGGTACATAATTAAAATTACACATGTTTGTTGCTTTCAGGTTCAAGATTTGTAGGGATTGCTACATGGACGCCCACAAAGAAAGAGGTTTATGTCCAGGGTGCAAGGAGCCGTACAAAGTTGGGGATTATGAAGATGAGGTACCAGATTTTTCCGGTGGAGCTTTGTCGCTGCCTGCCCCGGATGACCCCAAAGCAGATCGCCGCATGTCCATGATGAAGAGAAATCAAAACGGAGAGTTCGATCACAATAAGTGGCTTTTTGAGACCCAGGGCACGTATGGTTACGGAAATGCGTATTGGCCTCAAGAAGATGGATATGGTGATGACCATGGCGATGGAATGCAAAGAGGTATGTTGGATCCGTCCGACAAACCTTGGAGGCCTCTGAGCCGGAGGTTGCCAATTCCGCAAGGCATTATTAGCCCATACAGGTTGGTTGGGTGTCATTTGCAGCATTGAGCTTACGTACAATAATTAACATTACGGACTTTATATGATATGATATGATGTTCCGAGTATATATTCCTATTATTATTATTATTATTTTCGTATTACGCAATCAGTCATATTTAAGTTTCTAGTGTAACTTCAACCATCATAATCTCAGAATGTTTTCTTTAAAAAGTAATATTGCATGGAGGCCAGACCGCTAACTGTGTAAACCACCGCACAGTTGGTACAAACATATATTCTCTGATTTGATTCAAGTCAGTAATGGAGAAATTTTAAAAAGATCATCATTAATTTTGACCACCTGATCAGGCTGCTGATTGCGGTTCGGCTAGTGATTTTGGCCTTTTTCCTAACCTGGAGGTTGAGACATCCAAACGACGAGGCCATCTGGTTGTGGGCGATGTCCGTCACGTGCGAGGTCTGGTTTGCCTTCTCCTGGATTTTGGATCAACTTCCCAAGCTGTGTCCTGTCAACCGCTCTACAGACCTGGAGGTTTTACGCGATAAATTCGATCTGCCGTCGCCCTCCAATCCTACCGGTCGCTCTGACTTGCCCGGAGTGGACTTATTTGTCTCCACGGCCGATCCAGAGAAAGAGCCGCCCCTCGTCACCGCCAACACCATATTATCTATCCTGGCTGCTGATTACCCTGTGGAGAAAGTTGCCTGTTATGTTTCAGATGATGGCGGTGCTCTCCTCACATTTGAGGCAATGGCCGAGGCTGCCAGCTTTGCCGATTTATGGGTTCCATTTTGTAAGAAACACGACATTGAGCCTAGGAACCCAGAAACCTATTTCAGCTTGAAGGGTGACCCAACCAAGAACAAGAAGAGATCCGATTTTGTCAAGGACCGGAGAAGGGTTAAGAGGGAATATGATGAATTGAAGGTAAGGATCAATGGATTGCCCGATTCCATAAGGAGAAGATCCGATGCCTTCAATGCCAGAGAGGAAATGAAGATGCTAAAGCACTTGAGAGAGGGTGGGGCGGATCCCCTAGAGCCTGTTAAGCTCCAAAAGGCCACTTGGATGGCTGATGGCACCCATTGGCCTGGTACTTGGGCTGTTCCTAGTAGCGATCATGCTAAAGGTGATCATGCAGGAATCCTGCAGGTAACTTCCTATGTCAAATTTCTCTAGTATGTAACCGATTAATGTGCTAAATCCCACTAATCAAACAGTATATGGCCTTGCCCCAAGTAATCAAACAGTATGGCGGTTGCAGGTAATGCTGAAGCCTCCCAGTAGTGATCCGCTGATGGGAGACTCTGAAGGCAAAATCCTAGATTTTTCAGACGTGGACATCCGGTTACCCATGTTTGTGTATGTCTCCCGAGAGAAGCGACCGGGGTATGATCATAACAAGAAAGCTGGAGCCATGAATGCTTTGGTTCGAGCATCAGCCATACTCTCTAATGGACCATTCATTCTCAACCTAGATTGCGACCACTATTTCCATAATTGCAAGGCTATTCGGGAGGGGATGTGCTTCATGATGGATAGGGGAGGTGAAGACATCTGCTATATACAATTTCCTCAAAGATTTGAAGGAATTGATCCATCTGATCGTTATGCAAATCACAACACAGTATTTTTTGATGGTAATATGCGTGCACTCGATGGCCTACAGGTGGTTATTCTCTCCTACATCCGTTCTGTCATATCGTTTCATTTGTGTTTTTTTTTTTTTTTTTATAAAAATTTAAATAAAACATGCAGTGGTTAGCATTTATAGAGAATCCCAAAGATTTTTGTACTGCAAATGATGATCCCTATCCCATTGTCACCAATTACATATGTCCCATGCATTTAGGGACCTGTTTATGTGGGCACCGGTTGCATGTTTAGGCGGTTCGCACTTTATGGTTTTGATCCCCCTCAACAATTTAGCACGATGAGCCAAAAGGGTAGTGAGACCCAAGCCCTGAAGGCCACTGACTTCGATCCTGATCTTGACGTCAATTTGTTGCCCAAACGTTTTGGAAATTCAACAATGCTTGCTGAATCTATACCTGTTGCTGAATTCCAAGGCCGCCCGATTGCTGATCATCCTGCTGTCAAGTTCGGAAGACCACCTGGTGCTCTCAGAGTTCCCCGTGAACCACTTGATGCTGCTACTGTGGCTGAAGCTGTATCTGTAATTTCTTGTTGGTAAGTTTTCTTCAATATAGATCAATACTGCTGAATACATGCACGGCTATCCTAAATTGGTTTCTCAAGTTAGCAAAACTAAAACGAATTAATATAGATGGCATCAAATATAATAGTAGTGCTAGTGACATTCAATATCCAAATCTGAAGGAACGCAAATGCCAACCATTTTTCAGTGTGCTGTGTCCAATTAGTAGACATCCATTGAATAATAAAAAAAAACAATGCGAAATTGAGAATTCAAACATGATGATAGGTTATATGATATCCTCTTGCGACACACTCCAGTTGTGTCTTACCCTCCTCTTATTCGTTCTCTAGGTATGAAGATAAGACAGAGTGGGGTGATCGGGTTGGTTGGATTTATGGCTCAGTCACAGAGGATGTGGTCACAGGCTACCGCATGCACAACCGCGGTTGGCGCTCCGTCTACTGCATCACCAAGCGTGATGCGTTCCGCGGATCGGCTCCAATTAATCTTACAGATAGGCTCCATCAGGTCCTCCGCTGGGCTACAGGCTCAGTGGAGATTTTCTTTTCTAGGAACAATGCCTTCCTCGCTTCCCGTCGCTTGAAGTTACTCCAGCGCCTAGCTTATCTCAATGTCGGCATCTATCCTTTCACCTCTCTGTTCCTTATTGTCTACTGTTTCCTTCCTGCCCTCTCACTCCTTTCCGGACACTTTATCGTGAAAAACTTAAACGTGGTTTTCTTGGTCTATTTGCTGATTATAACCATATGCCTGATCTCATTGGCAATATTGGAAGTAAAATGGTCTGGAATAGGATTAGAAGATTGGTGGAGAAACGAGCAGTTCTGGCTCATCGGTGGAACCAGTGCCCACTTGGCTGCAGTGATGCAAGGTCTCCTCAAAGTGATTGCAGGGATCGAGATATCTTTCACACTTACTTCCAAGTCTGCTGGAGAGGACAATGATGATATCTATGCAGATTTGTACTTGGTGAAATGGACTTCTTTGATGATTCCACCTATTGTGATCGGGATGGTGAACATAATAGCAATGATAGTGGCATTTTCAAGGACAATTTATAGCGCAGAACCCCAGTGGAGCAAGTTCATTGGCGGAGCCTTCTTCAGCTTTTGGGTTCTAGCTCACTTGTATCCTTTTGCAAAAGGCTTGATGGGAAGGAGAAGGAAGACACCCACAATTGTGTTTGTGTGGTCGGGACTTATTGCCATCACGCTCTCACTACTATGGATTGCCATTAATCCACCTAAGGCTAACACAAATTCAGGGGGAGGAGGAGGAGGAGGAGGAGGAGGTAGTGGTTTTCAATTTCCATGAAAAGCACGTAGTACATGCACCAAAAACTTGTACCACTACAGATCTCCGCTGCTTCTAATTTGATTTATACAAAAGCTGCGAGATTCTTGCGCTTGAAATATAGCATCGTCCCCACTCCCAAAATCCGGGATTTATTGGATGGCATCCGGGAAAGAAAAGTTGCAAGTAATTCATACGACAGATGTAAACTGTACCCCAACTGCTGCAAAAGTAAAGCCGTCAAAGGACGGCTCAGTAGGATTAGATAGTATATTGTGGAGTGATTAAAGTCTAACGTCCTTTTCTTTCCCCGCTAACCACTCCCCTTCTCAGTTCTCCTCCAACCCCCCTCTTCTTCTCTCTCTCTCTCTCTCTCCGTATTTCGATCTTTTGATAAAGAATACTTACTATAAAACTGACAAATACACAACTTAGCATCTTCGTCGGGTAACTGTACTCTGCTGTAAACGTTGCCCGGCGAAGCCGGCGTGCTTTGTGGTGCAAGGAAGCATGTCCTCGGATATATTTGCAACTGAAAAGTAGTAATTAATGGAGTACTTACAAAAAAATTGAGCATAGCAAGTATCATATTATCCCATATCAAGTACTTCTTTCCTCAGTAATTGTATCAGTCATACTTCCCATCGAACTAGTAGAAATATATTTTGCAAACAAGGGGACCATGCACTAGACCTTCAAACCGAGGGAGTAAATTTAAAGAACATAAATTCAGATAGAAATACTCAAATCTTCGAAGAAAAATGATAGCAAGCATGTATGTTTGGCAACGAAAATGTACAGGTCCAACTAAAGGAACCACATGAACCGGACAGCAAAGAGAAGGGTCGGAAAAGTTAAGCATACTGAACCTACAGTAAGTAGATAGTATCTACACAAAAGATAATTCAGCCGCAAAGCTTACGTTAAACAGCAGCAAGTGTTTTCTTTTTTCTTAAGACAAAAAAAAAAAAAAAAAAACTTTAAGCTTCATTGTGAGCTTGCAGTACAAAGTCAAACTTTCATTGCAAATTTGACATCCGTAGCTCCATTTCCCCCAACAATCTCTCCTTCTCTCTCTGTCTTCAGATAACCAGACAGAGCAAATGGAGCTCAATGTACCTTTTCCACATTCTAGGTGTCTGACTGCTCAAATGGTACTCGCACAAACAACTGGCCATGTAAGGTAACCACAGCAGATGTCTGATGAGGATCTATCCTGGATGGTAAGCTGACTACCTGGTACAGGAACAACTTTATCTGTCACATTATTCCATGTATCAAGCACACATAACAAAAGCAAAATTTTCTTCTGTAGACATGCTACTCCTAGCCCAGTGAAATGTCCTATCAGCAGATAAACATTGACACACTGGCTCACTCATCAGTTCCCTGCTACCCGAACGCACATTAGAGAGAGAAGGGTAATTTGGCCTCACCAGATTTTGCAGAAACACCCAACTATACATGCACTGTTATCAAATGAATTCAACCTGTGCACTATTTATACAGCAATAATGAGGTTTAATCGTACGAATAATTATGAGAGACACAAAAATAACCTTTTTGAATGGAGTGACTCCCCAAGGATTATCCAGCTGTTCTGGCTGACCAGATATAACTAAGCGGCCTGCAGGATCAGATTGCACCCGCACCTGGTTTTAATCAAGAATAAGCCCATCTAATACAAAGCAAGCTCACAAAGGTAACTGAAGCACTATGAATTGCAAACCATCAAACAGGTAGATAGTTCATAATCAGCCTCAAATTTTGAACCCCCTGAAGACCGATAATCATCAGCTACAACTGCCTCAATAAAAATATAAAACCACCGGAATGGATAGTTTTCCAGGCTACAGTACAAAAGCGAAAAAGGTTTTCATATGAGAGCAAAACTAAAATGATCAGAAGATTGTTTGTTGGACTCTATATTCATGCATGCATATGTAGATTCCTTTGACTTGGAAGGAATGGATTTTGGTGAAGCTATCAGATTTTTCTTAAGAGGATTTCGGTTACCTGGTGAAGCACAGAAGATTGACCGCATCATGGAAAAATTTGCTGAACGCTATTGTAAATGCAGCCCCAATTCATTTACCAGTGCAGATACAGCTTATGTTCTTGCTTATTCTGTCATAATGCTTAATACTGATGCCCACAATACCACGGTAAAAGATAAGGTGAGCTTGCTAAATCAGCTATTGTTCCACTTGTAATGTGATTATGTAAATACCTTTCTATAGAATAGGAAAAAGAATAGCGAGTGAGCATTGGTATGGTAAAGGCAAAAACATCTAAAACTGTCTTTTTCTTTTTTGCTTTTTAATCTTTACCTTACTCTATCCAAAACTGTACGCAAGCCTAAATATCCTGATTTTAAGGAATACAACGATATACAGAAATTAGAAGAGAGCAAAAAGTTGAACGTTGCAACAAAGAATGTAACCTCGGGTTTAATTTTCTCCATAACTCTTTTAAAGGTTTTAACTTGGATTCTTTTCAATTAAGTCTGATAAATCTACAGTAAATATTAAGTTGGCTGGTTGTGATTGCTGCCTAAGGGTCAATGTTTGAAATTGCAGACGAGTTTTCTGGTTGTAAAATGTAAAACGTTCAAAGAAAGATAATAGGATATTTGTTTGACCTTACATATTCTGAATGTCATCAGTCTGGTGGCAAACCTTGTACCTATAGCTTGAAACTTGTATCGCACCCATCAATGATGAGTTCGATTCTTTTGATCTTATTCTACTGTACAAAGACTTGCAGCTTACCCTACCCTTATTTTATCAATTTTGTCCTTGGTAAGTCACAAATTGACCATATCCATTTGCTCCCAAAAATAAAATCCCATACAGATCTGGGATACCTGACGAAGAAGTCAAGAATATCATGACAAGGATGAAAATGGAGGGCTTGAGAATTGCATGTACTTTAGTCTTGATATGGAAAATATCCAGAAAAAGAAAAAGAGATTAGGACTTCTTTAGATATTACCTTTGTGGAGCTTGTTGGTTTACTGGGCGGATTGGACAGACCCGTCCTTTACTTTTCACTTGAAAATTAAAAAAGAGATTAGAAGTGATTGTTGTATGCTATGGCTTCCAGTTTGTAATTAACTCTAACCTATGAAGAGTTAAAAAAGTGTTGAGTGCTTGACTTCAGAAACCTTATTGGTTCACAAAATAAGTCAGTGGTTTACTTGTTATCTATTCAACAAATCCTACCCCCTTTTTCTTTACTTGTTCATCATTCTTCAAAATTTGGACTGACAATTCATTCTTAAAACATGCATATGCCCAACATTGCATGTTAAAAATTTATCTTTTGAAATCTCTTTAACGTGTTATTCCACTTATCTATTAGAAAAGTAAAGCAATTGGAACTCCAACTTGTAGATTGCAAACTTTAACCCTGATTGCATGCTACCATTTTGTATAACATCTGAAGTGAAGTAATTTAACATGGATTTTCTGACATTCAAGGAGTGAACTTTCCAAGTCTCTCTCTCTCTCTCTCTCTCTTAACCGTGACATAAAATCGGTTTCTCTTTAGTACTAATAACCATTTTGCATCTCATTTGTTTGTGAAGATGACAAAGGCTGATTTCATCCGGAATAACCGAGGGATCGATGGTGGAAAGGATTTACCGGAAGAATATTTGGGCAAGCTGTATGATCAAATTGTAAAGAATGAGATCAAGATGAATGCAGATTCTTCTGTGCCACAAAGCAAACAGGGGAATGGCCTGAATAGACTGCTAGGATTAGAAAGCATTCTAAATCTAGTTTGGAAGCAGACTGAAGAAAAACCAATGGGTGCAAATGGATATCTTATAAGGCACATCCAAGAGCAGTTCAAGGCAAAATCTGGAAAATCAGAGTAAGAAAACATTCTATATGCTTGCATGTGCATATATTTTTAAAAATTCATATTGGATGATGCTGATCAGTGGGAGAAGGGAGTAGAGGGAGGCAAATGAGTTGTTTACGATTGGGGTATTTTAAGTTGGGATATCTTTTGAACTATAGCTTATAGTAGACTTTATTAACTTTATTTTTTTTTGTCAAATATTTCTGTTGTTCCTGAAAATGTTTGGAATTGGTTTATTGGTTGACACTTGGAGATTCTGTTTGCATAATTTTGCTACAGATTTGTTTTCTAGGTGATTAAAGTTCAGCATTTTGAAAATGTTTTTTTTTTCCCAATTGCAGGTCCACATATTACGCTGTTTCAGATCCAGCAATATTAAGGTTTATGGTTGAAGTATGTTGGGGTCCAATGATTGCTGCATTCAGTGTAACTCTAGACCAGAGTGATGACAAGGAAGCGACTTCTCAATGCTTGCTGGGCTTCCGACATGCTGTGCATGTCACTGCTGTAATGGGTATGCAAACCCAAAGAGATGCTTTTGTTACCACTGTGGCTAAGTTTACTTACCTTCACTGCGCCGCAGATATGAAGCAAAAGAATGTTGATGCTGTTAAGGTAATTTTCCTTTGACTTCTGTCTGCGTTGCTAACTGGCCTAATGCACTTTAAGGGCAGATTTGTTTTCTCAAGTGTGGTTAATATCTTCTATCCTAGCTACTCAGAAATGATCACCTGGGAGCGATATATATTCTTAACATGATCATTCATAGAGAGAGGCTTTTCCATTCCTCCTTGTGATTGACTTGCAAGATAACTTATCCACAAATGTGAATTTCGCATATTACTCTTGCAGGCAATAGTATCAATTGCCATTGAAGATGGTAATTATCTTCAAGAATCTTGGGAGCATATCTTAACATGCCTATCTCGTTTTGAGCACTTGCAGCTCTTGGGGGAAGGCGCACCTTCTGATGCCTCATTTTTAACTACAGCAAATGCTGAAACTGATGAAAAGGCATTGAAGTCTGCAGGTTTTCCATCTCTGAAGAAAAAAGGCAATCTCCAGAACCCTGCTGTGGTAGCTGTTGTTCGTGGGGGTTCCTATGACAGTACCAGTTTAGTAGCCAATTCGCCAGGGTTGGTAACCTCGGAACAGATCAATAACTTCATTGCCAACTTGAATCTGCTTGATCAGATTGGGAATTTTGAGTTAAACCATATTTTTGCTCATAGCCAAAGGTTAAATAGTGAGGCTATAGTGGCATTTGTGAGGGCACTTTGCAAAGTTTCCATGTCAGAGTTGCAATCTCCAACAGATCCTCGTGTATTCAGTCTTACTAAAATTGTTGAAGTTGCGTAAGAACCTATACTCTACATTATCCTTTAGTGCCAAAATTTTCACAGGAGCATCACATGATGCAAGAGCAATGTAAAAGTCTTCCTTTTTTGAATTAAAGAATGAATAATTTGGGCATCCCATTTGTTTATTTTGCAGGCACTATAACATGAATCGGATCAGACTAGTCTGGTCTCGCATTTGGACTGTTCTGTCTGATTTTTTTGTATCAGTTGGTTTGTCTGAAAATCTCTCTGTTGCAATATTCGTCATGGACTCGTTGCGACAGCTTTCAATGAAATTTTTGGAGCGAGAGGAACTGGCAAATTATAATTTCCAGAATGAATTTTTGAAACCATTTGTGATTGTCATGCAGAGGAGCAGCTCTGCAGAAATTAGGGAGTTGATAGTTCGGTGTATTTCACAGATGGTACTCAGCCGTGTCAGTAATGTCAAATCTGGTTGGAAAAGCGTTTTTATGGTAAGTTTGGCCATCAAATGAATCAAAATCTTATTGTTAATGCACAGAAGGCTGGAAATTCAAGACATGTAGCTCATTGAAGTGAATGTATATGATTCTAAAGTTGAAATCTCCTTATGTCTAGGAAGCTCGCTTTCCTGAAATTTGTGGATAGGTATATACATAATATTTTGGATTGTTTATCAAGAAATATTTTAACCATGCATCAGATACAGTTAGCTGTCAACTGAGTATCTGATGTTTGACTGGAGGATAATTAGTTGTCTTATTTGTTTTGCTGCATATTATCCTAAATTTATCTTTCTCCTTTTTGCATTGGCTTTTGAGCAAGCATTCTTTTTGTTGATAACTAGAACAGGTATTGGAATTGCAATAATCAGCATCAAACCAGTCTTCTTTGATTTCCTCTTTTTTTTTTTAGCACCTAGTCTTTGACCATTGGGAGGGTATCATTTCTGGCTTTTATGGGAATTGATATTTTCAATTTTTTGTTAGCTCATTCCAGCATTTTGATGCTGAAGGACCTATAAAGATGTCTGTCTTGCTGATGCCTTAGTTTCTTGGTGTTCTCCAATGTGTTGTGGTCATGTTCTTGTGTCCTATACTGGAAGTTGTGGCATCTTAACATATCAATATCGAACAATACTTAGTTAAAATGTGTACTTCTGAGCATCTGCCTACTGCTAAAGTATTTGTAAAGTTGCTCCTATGACCCTCTGAAATGTCCTCTCTCATGTGAATGCTTATGTTTTTTGCAGGTTTTTACTACTGCTGCAGCTGATGAAAGAAAAAAATATAGTCTTGCTGGCCTTTGAAACCATGGAAAAGATTGTTCGAGAATATTTTTTCGTACATAACTGAGACTGAGACTCTGACTTTTACTGATTGTGTTAAATGCCTCATCACCTTCACAAACAGTAGATTTAACAGTGATGTTAGCCTCAATGCCATTGCTTTTCTCCGATTTTGTGCTGTCAAACTAGCAGATGGAGGACTTGTTTGCAATGATGAAAGGACAGAAGATGCTTCATCCATGGTAGTTAGAGATGATAATGATTCAGTTGGACGTATATTCACAGATAAAGATGATCACGCATTTTCTGGCTTCCTTTGCTATCAGGTGTTTTTTTCCCCCTTCTTAGTTCCAAGAATGAGTGTTTTTTATTTGTGGTGTCCTCAGATTAAGTCTACGATTTACCTATTCTTGTTAATGATATCTTAAAAGATATACTTTT